TACCTCAGTGAGTCACGTTGTCTCCTTCCATCGTCTTGAGGCTCGCAGGGACGGTCCCTCCTGTCCACGTCATCACGCAGCTCCAGTTCCCGGGACACGTGCTGGATCCTCACGTCTGCTTCTGCTGCTGCGGTCTCTCGTGTCCTTTCATACCTCAGTGAGTCACGTTGTCTCCTTCCATCGTCTTCAGGCTGGTGGGAACCGTCCCTCCTGTCCACGTCGTCACGTGGCTCCAGTTCCCGGGACACGTGCTGGATCCTCACGTCTGCTTCTGCTGCTGCGGTCTCTCGTGTCCTTTCATACCTCATTGAGTCGTGCTGTCTCCTTCCATCGTGTTGAGGCTCGCAGGGACGGTCCCTCCTGTCCACGTCATCATGCGGTTCCAGTTCCCCGGACTTTTGGCTATGGTTTTGGCTCTCATAGATCTCTAGCTCCAGTGCTCTTTGGTGGCTGATCATCCTCTCTTGCATGGATTTTTTCCTCGTTCCATCATCTTGTTCCTCCCATTGTTGAGCCTGATGGTTTCCTCTCTTACTTTCTGTATTTTCAAGCTCATATTCTTGGTTCTTCTCTTGTTTATAGATACCTCTTTCTAGCTCAAAGGTGTCATAGTACCTGAGGTCAAGTTCTAGCGGTTCTTGTATGTATGATTGATGTGGCAGTCTTGAGTCCAGGCATTCAGGCTCATGTGGCTGGTGGTGGCTTTGTTTAAGTGGTTTTTGTTCCAGCTTATGTAGGTGGTAATGGCTTCTCTCTTCTCTGAGTAATTCAGGCTTACGTGCCTTATTGTGACTTCCTCTATCTGCTTCTTGTGGCCGCTGATTTTTTTGATCATATGCTGGTAGTGGTGACTCATTTGGCTGATGCCTACTCCACTGGTTTGGCTGTGGTTGAGGTTCGGAGGTCTGGCTGCGACTCCTCACGTCTGCCAGTTGTTCTGGCTGAGGGCCCTCGTCATTTTGCCTCTCATCTACCTGCGGTCCGGGCTCATGTGCTTGCAAGCTGCCGCGCTTGCAGTGTTGTGCATCTCTTCGTCTGTCTGGCTCTGGTGGCTGACGTCTTCTCTGGCTGTTCTGTTTGTCGCATGGCTCTTGGCTTCGTTCTTTGTATACCTGAGGGATTGGCTCCCCCAGCTCGCTGCTTTGTTTTACATCGTTTCTGCTGAGTGTTTTCTGTTGCTGGTGATGACTCTTTGTTTTTTCTAGTGTTTCAAGATCATTGACCCTGTTGGCTCGTTGCAGTTCTGGTTCACAGTGGGGGTAATGATTGCTCTCACAGGTTTGTCGTTCCTCCTCCTGGAGCTGCCGACGGCTCCCTCTGTTCCCAGTTTCAGGCTCTTGGAGTGATTTGCCACTGGTTGTCAGCTTTGTTCTTTGCAGAAGGCGTGGTCCCCTCGGCAGGTACCAGTAGCATGCCCTTGCTGCTCTGAACAGCAAAAGCAGGAACTCATTAAAATCTATTTTCCCATCACCATCCCACTCCAGAAAGTGCAGAATCTTGTCAATCGTCTGAGGGTCATGCGGCTTCTGCAAGGAAACACACACAGGGAAACACAAAAGGGATTTTAGCCTTCCTGCTCCGTGACAAACAAATGCAAAGAGAGGTACAGTTGCAATCTTTTCTCCTTCCGTCTCGCACACCTTCACTTTTATAGCTCAAAAACAACTCCTTGTCTTCATTCTCCTTTTTCCTGGTTATTCCCTGACTGCAGCTAACCAGCACACTTCTCTTTGGGGTATGATGTATCCTCTACTGGATGCATTTCCTGCCTATGTTTGAAAGAATACCAGACCTCCCATCAGTTCATTCTCCAGCTTTTGCCCATTTGCTCGTGACAAAATGGGTCGAAGCAGTCAGTGCAAAGGAACGCTACTGCTGCTCCCCTTTGGTGAAAGCCTCCTCATCCCACTGTCATAAGAATCATTCCCTCTCCGCAAGGAGAATTTGCAGTCCTTGCACTCCAGTCTTGGCCCCAAGCCCTCCCCCTCGCAGCAGCACTCACGGTTATGACATCTGCAAACTCCATCTGGATGAACTCTTTCATCTTCCTTCGGCTGAGGTAGAAGGAGTCTCCATCTTCCGTTGCATGTTTGTGAAAGATGCTAGTGATGGTGAAAATGCTGTCTAAGAGGTGAGACATCTTCCTGCAGATTCAAGCAAGCCTGCAAGAAAAGGAGCAGACCTAAGGACAGGAGATTCTCTTGCCTCTGCACATGAAAAGAGGGGGAAGAATTGCTGGGGTCAGGCTGCGTGCATTAATGGGATACTGGGTGCCATGGCGAGCTCTGTTTCACCAGAGGCCTGGGAAGAACTTCAAATGCTTAGGGGTTTTAGTGGGATGGGGAGTGTCGTCCAACTTGTCTACTGACGTATTTGAATGACGTTTGATAGGGGATGGCGGGGTGCCTGCGTTTGTGGATCGCAGGGAGGGGACTGGGGACGGTGACTCAAGAGATGCCCCAAGAACCCATCCCCATGGGGCGATACTGGGCAACTGCGTTTCCAGGACCCACGCTGCTGTCTGCCTGGCACTGAGATACTCCAGCTTCTGTGAAGCAGGTTAGAGGACATCTAATGCAGCACTGGCATGGCCTGAGGCAAGATCTGGCTGTGTCCAAGACAGACAGAGTGCTTACAGGGAGCTAAAACAAGCCCTGTGGCTGATGCTCCTGTGACCAGTAGTAATGCAAAACAATTGATAAAGCTTTCATTACAGCGTCGGTTCATTAGCAAATAGATTTTGGCCAGAAGAGAGTTGTCAGGTCACCTAGGTTAGAGCTACTTATTTGATTTTACTGAGATCAGCTTGGCAGAAAGCAATGCTCCTGCTGGAACTTTGTGTCTGGAAACCTCAAATGCCACCTCCTTCCTTCCTCCTCGCAGGATCCCCAAGGCTCTTATGGGGCACATCAGTGCTGACAGCTCAGCTTGAGCTGGGGAAGCTGTGCCACGTCTGCCTGGCCGCCTCTGTAACATGCACACACACACGAACACACATGCACACCTTTGCACACGAAATCCTGGGGACTAGTATTTCTGTAGAAAACAGAAAAAGTCCCCAGTCTGCTCATTCGGGCTGGGAGCTGACTCCAGACCAAAGTAAGGCACAAAACCTGGCTCCCTTTCTTGTTTTCCCTTTGAGGAAAGCTGCCTCTACACATGGACGCACGACGACAGCGTGCGAGCGTCCGAATAACGCAAAACAACGCTTCACTGGGTACGAACGCAAAAGACTCTCCGAAAACGCTGCGACAGGAACGCCGCCGCCACCCAGCACGAATCCTAAAGAAGCAACAGGTCCTTGCCCAGCAAAGCGCACGTTTCAAAAGGAGCGACTTACCCAAATCGCCAGCGGGATCAAGTGGGATTCCTGTGAAGCCGTGCGGAGTGATTGGAGGACCCGAGTGCTTTTATAGGGTCCTGGACAGAGCTGCAGAAAGGAGACACCCTTTGTGGACATTGTCCTGATTCATCTTTGGCCAAGCCCAGCTGCACCTTCACGTCCTCAAACGGGTTATTTAACTTATCATCCCCTTACCTATCATTTTAACCTAGAAATAGCAGTTGCCATGTGGCAATTCAGGCACTGGCTGGTTCCACCTAATCCAGACTGTAAAGTTATTTTACGGGCTGATTGTATTTCAGATTTTAAAAAATGTAGAGTAGCTATAAAGCGTATATATGTGTTAATGGGAGGGTGTATTTTTATATAAATGTGCCTCTGCATAGGCGTGAATTTATATATGTATAATACACACATGCACACATAAAAATGAAATTCTGAGGATGGGGACAGAAGTGCTGATGGTAGCAGAGCTCCCTATGAGCAGATCAGGCACAGTCGAGATCCGTACGGCCCCTGAGCTTGGTACCGCAATACCAGAGATGATTTTTCTTTGCTTTTTGTGCAGTTCCTTCAGCGCCGTGGGCCTGAGGTCAGTGGTGTTTGGGCCTGGCTTTCGCTCACAGAAGGACAGAAGGCCTGAGCTCTACAGAAATGGTGACATTCAGGGGCACAGCAGTAAGATCCCCAAATCCTCCAGGTCTTGGCTTGTGTGGCGTCCTTGTAGAGTGTTTCATTTTTGGTAACTTCTTATTAAGGAGCCTTTTGGTTATATTATCCGGGGGTTTGTTGGAAAAAAACCCAACCACAAACAGAACATTTTTAAATGGGACAGTTTGCAAAATGAATTTTCTTACAAGAAAATGTCTGTTCCATAAGCAATTAATTTCACTGAGAAAAATCACGATAAAACATTTTTCATAGCTGTCTTCCAGGAATGACTTTCATTTCAACTTTGCTTGATCTTTAATTAAAAATAAAAGCAGAATGCTCTCTGCTGAGAGGTCAATTCATGTGGAATCTTCATCTAGATGCCCTAGGCAGCTTTTGCTGTAATTACCTCTGCAGTCTTCTTTCTTTAAATCTTTTAACAGTAAATTAATGAAAGACTAACTGATTCCTTTATTCACCCCAAACTCTCCCAGCACACAGAGCAAAGAAGGAAGATACCAGCCGTGCCACCTGGGCCCCTGCTTTTGCTTTTGGAAGTAGGATGCTGCCTTGACAAGTGTGACGGAGACATTGCAGAGAGCCTCCAGAGCATGAACTTGTCACGCAGCCTTGGTTGAGTGGCTGATCTGGCCCATCTGTAAGGTAAGATCATACTGGGTGTAGGAGCCTAATTAATTAGTGCTGGTAACACCTTGGGGATACTCATACAAGTGCGCACGAAGGATCGTTACTAACCATACTTCATTTTTGAGCTTTTTTTCAAGATTAAATTATACTTGTGCAAATTATACCCCACCTGTGGGATAATAATACCCTTGGGAAACTGTAATTTTATGGTAGATTGGAGTTATTATTAAAATTAGAGTATTACAGTGCGGCTTGGTGTCCTATAACAGTCTGTAATCCCTCCCGCAGGGGCTGGGGCAGCGCAGGACGGTTGGGTGCTGCGTAAGCCATCAGGCAGAATTTGGGATCGATGCAGGAAAACGTGCGTCACGTTGCGGCCACGCGCACGCCGGCGTGCTCGCCCGCTTGCCTCTGCTTTCCTGTTCCCGGGACAAAGCGCCGAGTTTCAAAGCACCTTCTTGGCAGCACTGAAGCCCCCTGTTCTCCAAGGGCTTGGTTTTCCAAGGGGAAACTGCAAGGGAATGGTTGCGTCTGGTGATTTTAGACCCTCAGCCAGAGCTAATAAGAAGCAAAGAGGTATTGGACAAACGTCTAACTGACACCTATTCTACAAGAAGAATGGAGTTCTGTGGAAAATGAGATGTTTTGAGGAATGCCTCTGATGGAGTGGGGTTTTGACAGATAGGCGATGAAATTTAAGTCTTGACTCTCCCATTGTGTGTCCACAGCTGTCGTGAGGTAGGTCAGAACTTATCGTTGCTAATATGCCTTATCAGTAATAGAGCAAACTGGTGTACTTTGTGTCTAATACATTTAATTTTGACATTAGCACGTGTAAACCAAGTCAGTTTTGTGATGTACATGCTGGGCATGGTTTTGAAACACTGGTTCTTCTGATTCAGCACTTAGAAAATTGTGAAATTCTGGGGTGTCCCAGAGGAATGACGTTTTATTTTCCAGTGAGGTCTCTGTGTGCTCCTTGTCACCGGCCACAGAGCAGGAGGTGCGGGTACATTTATCATGTGCTGATTTTGCTGATAGGTCACAAGTGAAAGATAGCATGGTGAAAAACAGGCTGAGCATCACCCTCCCTGCGGGATGCCGAGTCCTGGGCCTGCCTGGTGGTCCAGCATGTCTGAACCCCCTAATAAACCCCACTGACTTCACCGGACTGCTCATGCCCTCAGAGTTACCCACATTCCTATGTGCACATTTGGACAAGTGCCTGAGGACCTCGTACCCCGAGCTGGCTGATCTGAAACTGAGTTTGAGATTGGCTCCCTTTGTGCCCAGTTTGTATGTCAGCTTTTTATTTCTGGCCTCCCAGTTGTTACTGGGACTGGATGTACCCGAATCCTCATTTTTCCTGTGTTTGCTAGATCTCTACTCCTTCCTTTGGAGACTTCCATAGCTAATAGGGATTTTTGATCTTCATAGCATGCTCCGCATTCCCCTTGCTTCTGAGATTACTAATAAGTGAGGTTAAATAGGACAAATCCCTCCCATTCAGTGTTAAGCAGCTGTTTATTCTTTTCGCAGCAGACATGAAAAACACCCAGAGCAGATGGATGCTGTGAGGAATCTGTTCAGGTCGGCCGTGCTGTGGTGTTAATCTGGACTTCTGCCCCCTCTGAAGACACCTTTCGCAGGGACATCGCATCCCTGCCCACGGGGAGCGATCGATTCACCTCGGCAGCAGCTCCTTTAGGCAATCCACCCCCGAGACACGCCTGCATCTCTGCAGCCACCCCTCCGTCCGCACCCTGGAGCAATCTGGCCGTATGTCACGAGAGCGAAGGACGCTCAGGTCCTCTGCACCGCATCGTGTCAACCCGGCTGTTTGCTCAGAGCCGGGCTGGGGGCCGCTTGCAGCAACACACCGGGACGTTTGCTATTTTGCCTTCAGTTTTATTGCTTTGCTTACACAGGCAGCCTACCACAGAGCGAGGGGGAAGGTCTCTAGTCATGCACAGCTCAGTACGAACCAGGGGAGTTAATAAGGAATTGGACAAGACATGACAAATAGAAATGCAAAACACCAGAGTGGGACCAGACAGAATGTATCTCCTCGCAGGGGACAACACCGTCCCTTAGACGGGAGCTTGTTTCAGCCTTTACTGCTGTGGTGGCCACTGATACAGAGACTGCAGGAGCTGTTGCTCTATAGGGGGTTGTCTTCGGTGGCGAGCGTCTTGTTGCTGTTGTGCTGGACGAGATGGAGCCTCTGCCCCGCTGTGCTCCTGCTCCAGCACCTTGGATTCAGGAAGCTGATGGAAAGCCAGGTCGTGGCACATTCCCCGGGGCTTGGGAGCCCAATGCAGGCTTGCATCCGGCTGTGGGGGCAGCAGCTTCTGGGTGTTGCTGGGGTTGTGGCTGTGCCAAGGGGCCTCGCAGACCTGGGTCTTGTTGTTTGGGTCTCTCCCTCGTGTCTCAGAGGGACAATTCAGGTCCTGCTTTGCTGATGCCAACTCTGGGCTCTGATGGTGGTTTGAAATTGGTACCTCAGTTTCTAGGGCCTGGTGGGTCTTCGGGTCCTGTTTAGGTGTCTCGGTCTCTTCAGCCTTATGGGTATTTCTGTCCTGCTCTGGGGTGGCAGTGTCCAGGATATCACCTCTCTCAGGATCCCCTTCTGGTGCATCAGTCCCGTCATCCTGATGGGTGTCCTGGTCCTGCTCTGGTGTCTCGCTCTCTTGGGTTTGATGGTTAGCCTGGTCCTGCTCTGGTGTCTCACCCTCCTGGGTTTGATGGTCATCCTGGTCCTGCTCTGATGTCTCACCCTCCTGGGTTTGATGGTTAGCCTGGTCCTGCTCTGGTGTCTCACCCTCTGGGGTCTGATGGTCGTCCTGGTCCTGCTCTGGTGTCTCACCCTCCTGGGTCTGATGGTCGTCCTGGTCCTGCATCTCAGTGTCCTGGACCTGATTATTCATACCCTGGTTGGGGACCTGCTGGTTGCTTGAGACGCTCCCTGCTGTGCGCAGCTTCCGTGGCTGCTCCCCACTTGCCTTCTCTTCCGCTGTTGGCTCTTGACCATCTTCTGGTGCCTGGTGCTGCTGTAGCGGCTTGTAACAAGCCTTGGCCACACGGAAAGCCAGGCTGAGCAACTCGCAGAAGTCAACCCTACAGTTGCTGTCATCATCCAGGAAGCACAGCACCTTCTTGACAGTTTTGGGGTCCTGGGGGTTCTGTAAAGAGACGGATGGTGTTGGAGAAGCCCGTGAGCCATTTGTGTTATTTCTCTAGGAACACTTGAGCAGTCTCAGGGCAGAAATCCAGCCCCACGGCCCCTCTGCTACTGTGGCTCCTGTTGCTCCCCGTACCGAGCTCTACAAGCTGCTGGCACCGGGAGAATGAACAGCTTCTCCTCTTCCCTGCAAATCCTGGGCTTTGAAGGCATCTGTGCCTTTCCCAGGGAGCCAGGTGTCCTGTCCATGGGAGTGCATGGCTTTAGCCACCCCGCAGCATGCCCGATCCCAGCCCTACAACCCGAAGGCACAGCGACGGCCGGCTCCGTCCTCACCTCCATTGCGTCCTCGAACTCCTGCTCGATGACCTGCCTCAGCTCCTCCCTGCTCAGGGGGCTGCAGTTGCCGTCGCTTCTGGCGCACATGTAGAAAGCAGCAACGATGCTGTCGATGTTTTCATGGAGCTGAGCCATCTCCCTGCAAGATTGAGGCAGCCTGCAAGAAAAACACAGGCAAAATGGGGCTTTTATGTTTTTTTTGCTTGGTTTTCAGATAAGTTCCTCTTAAACAACACAGCTGGAAAGGCAAAGAGGGAAAGAAGAGCCAGAGAAAGGCA